AGAGCTGAGCTCATGGCCGTGGTTTTCCAAAGTGATGCTAGACACCCACAACCTGAAGTTAGTGGAGCTGTGGGAGCCTGGCATCTCCTAAAATCAGGCCTTTACTCGTCTTATTCTCTGAATACTTCACACTTCTGATGAAACATATTTTTTTCTATTGCTGTAGATGGGACTTTATTGTCTCAGTTCACAGCAGCACTGGGAAAAGAAACCCAGGATGAAAAGACATATTAGCTGTTGTCTTACTGAATCCTAGAAATACATACTTATACTTTGTACTTTTTTATTCTGCTTTTTGCTGTCATTAAAGTCATACTGCATCACAGTCCAAGTCTCCCGGTGTTTATTTTAGCAGCTCACTTTTTGTAAAATTTCTTGCTGTTGCTCCGTTTTATTCTTTGAAAGCTGTGTTTTCACACTGACTGGAAACAAGGGTTTGGGTGGTGGGCTCTATGCCAAAAAATCGTTTAAGAGCCAGGAAAGTTTGGGAACACACTCGATACAATGTAGATACTTTGTAACAAAGGGGAAATGTTTTTCGGAACTCAATTAGAGACATTGTAGCAAGGTGTACACTCGATACAGAGGAGATGATACTTTGTCTACAAGTGCTATGGATTTGCTACATTTCCTTTCCCACCGCCGGCTTTCATCACGGGTGTAAGACCGTGGATTTACAACTGCTCGTTATCAAATTCCTCTGGTTGATCAGAAAGAGTTTCTGAAGGTCACGGTCTGAGCGAAGGGGGACCCCAAAGCTAAAAGAGCAAAGGGAATTTGTGGGCGATGCTCCAAGAAGAGACCGGCTCTCTCCGTAAATAATCCTGAGTATTTTTTGTAACTAATGCCCACCTATCTAAGGCTGTTTAAATGCAGATTTGTGACTCATGTTGTAAACCGAGCTCCTGGTGCCTCCGCGGATCTTCACGGGCTGATGCTGAAATAGCCAGGGTTGGTAGAGGCACTTGGGTACCCTCGCTGGTTGCAGGCATCTGCGGAGCTAAATGGCAGACTGGATTTTCACCTGATGCGAAAGTCTGTGATTTCAAAGTTTATTTTGAGCACGAAAACCTTTTTCTTCTTACTGCAATGGAAAGGTTTTAAGTGAAGATGTGTTTGTCCTGGGTCGCCAGCTCCAAACAAGTAGGCTGTGATCTTTTCCTTCCTAAATGACTAATGGAAATAAATGTAAAATCAGGGAGCAGGCGTGTAATTGGGGCAAAATGCAGGTGAGTGATATGTAACGCTTGGTGGAAAGAAACAGTGCCTTGTGGAAAGGGTTTATACCAATGATTATAGGCAATTGCTTGATCTGAGGTGGTGGATTACAAGTCCACATTCATCAGTCTTGGTGGTACCAAGACTTTGATCCACAAGGAAGGTGAATGACACATAGGGCCATGGGTAAATACTGATTGCACTCTTAAAATCTGAAACATAATTAAAATCTGCATTTGAAAAGTTATTCAAACATACTTGAAAAATAACTAAAGCCCACCCATTTTGGGTATTGTGTTTTGCAGAACTTCTGGTGAGTAAATAATTTCTTCCCTCCAGCACAAATTAATTTTTGTTTTTGTTGTCTTCTACTGTTCCCCACTGAATTCCAGCGTAACGACCACACAACACCTGGCTCTTGGCAGAAATACTCCACAGATCTGCATGCAGTAGTTAGTTCCTTTTTGTTTTTTGTTTTTTGTTTTTTGTTTTTTTTTTTTTTGACAAAAAGGGAAATTGTAACATAAATTGTTTAAGCTTATTAGACCACAATAAGATGCAAAACCAAACCTCAAACTTTAGTAATTTTAAAGTTCTTCATAACAGTATTTGAATAACATTAACAATGAAAATAGCTATGTTAAGATATGAACTTTGAGGACTACGTATCTACCTGAATTTGAACACCTTTGCCTTCAGGGAAGCTATTTCAGCAGCAGAAGCTGAAGTTGTGAAGCTCAAGTCACGCTCTCCGCCTACACCAAAAGGCAACTTGGGTTACACGTACAGCATGTACTATTCAGCTGCCTGGGCCAAACAACAAATGACAGCAAATAATGAGTGGTGGGTTGCAATAGAAACAGTCGTGCCATGCCGAGGCATCCAGTCTGACTGAACTAAACAACCTTAAGTTGTAGGTACATCTTCTGTTTTAAGCAATAAGCCAGGAACTGCTAACACCTGGAACCAGGTACCCCAGATTTTATGGGAATGGCTGTGTAGGATGTGCAGGCTGTTGCTGATGCAGTCAATGAGCATCTGCTTTAGTACAAGTAGCCAAGAATGAGGTCTGAGAGAGAAGCAAGAACTATCAGCGTTGTCATGAATCATGAGGGAAGGTAACAGAATAGGAGGGCTCTGAACTGCAAGAACTTCTGCAGATTTGCTTGACTGCTCAAAGCCTCTGAGGCATCCATTTCTTTATAATGACTTAATTAGTTACAATTCAAAATTTATTGCAATGGCACTCTTCTTGCCAGGGAAACTTCCTTTTTCTGTGTGTCTGTTTCTCCACGCACAGATTTTGGGGTCACCTCTCTGTCTGGAGCCTTTACGTGGGGGTTACTGTGAATAAGCTTTCAGTTCCATTTTAGTTAAGAATTTTTTTCAGACATTTAGTCATTCACAGGTGTCTCAAGAGGATGTTCTCATATTATGCAAAAAGTTTTAATTATAATCTGAATATATAGGTCTGCCCTTGATTATACAAAAAACTTGTGGACTTCTGATTCACTCACTTGAATTAATCTCAAACATTAGGCCAATAATTTATTCTCACTGTACAACAAAGTTACTGGAGTTAGAACAATAGTTATTGTAATTATTTTCAAGGAAGGCTGTAGATATATCTGAAAATGTTGCTAGAGCCTTCTTTTAAACTCATAGTCTGATTTTAAAATTATTTTGTGTTTTCCAAGCAGAGCTTGGATGAAGGAAGTATATAAAAAAAATTGATCGAAATAATCTATGGATACTGTTGTGTGAATTAATTCCTCAAAGAGCTCCTCCATAGCAGCTGCGATAGAGGACATTATTTTTTAAAAAGCCTGCTAATCCTTTAGAATATGGATAAGTACTGAGGAATGGACAGAGTTGGTGAAGCTAAAGGTGGCTAGGGTCATTTATTTGAGAATCTTCTTGAAATGTGAGATGGCTTAGACCAAACCTTGAGCTATTTTTTAATTAAAAATAAAATAGCTGTAATTCCTGCAGCCAGGAACAACAACATAAATTTTAGAACCCAAGGACTGACCTGCACTCCTTAATCTTAATAATGTATTATTACAGAAGTGATATGAGAATTCAAAAATGGGTCATGGATCTTAAATTTGCACATAATATGAAGCTTTGCATGCCTAGCACTTTAATAAAAGCTTCTGATAAACTTTGAAGTTCTCAGGAACCTATGACCAAGCCAAACAAGTTTCTGTTCCCAAGGGATCTTCACAAAGAAGCTCCTAATTTAGAGGTGATTTACGTGTCTCAGTAGTTAAAGTGCTAGGGAAGCAAGAACTGCAATACTAATCTCTATGCCTAGAATCGCTTATGTATTTTCCCCCTTTACTGGTTATCCTGCAAGCCCCTCGCCTCATAGAAGAGACTCAATGTTGTTGTGCAATCCAAAGACTGCTGTAAAGTGACGTAAAAATTGACAAGTGAAGAAACGATTGGCACTTTATACTTTTGACACTTCTCCAAGTGGCTGTTGTTGGTCTCTAGCACATCTGTACCAGATGCTGCAGGGGCAGCTGGAGAAATGAATGCTGCAATAGGAACGGAAGAATTCTTGTATGTGACTACTCCTGCCTCCACAGCTGAGTTTTGCAAAGCCTTATCTTTTGCAGAACTCTTCCTTGAGAACAAATGTCACCAAGCAATGCAACGTATTTATGCATGTGGAAGTTAACTTAAAAACAGTTGCTAATGTTTTGAGGTCTGAGATAAGAATAAAAGTTCATTTATGGATTCTTTAGATAAAGAACTCCTAAGAGATAAGGTCCAGAATTAGAGACAGCCAGGAAGGATCCCATATTAAGAAGATTTGTCCTTCAAACTCTTCCACAAAAGTGCTATCATCTGATATTATCTTGTGAGACAGGACTTCTAATACTCTTTTTTGCTTCTTCTTCCATGTCAAAGCAACAGTGTCTTAAGTGTTTATCTAGTTATATCTCAGCTTTTGTACACATCCGTAACACTTTCCAGTTCCTCCCGACTCTCACAGGGTCCTTCGGTGTCCTTCCCTTTGAACAGTGTTTGTGCTGCTTCTCTCATTTTGGGGCTGGAGTTGGGTGAAAATTGTGTGAGTATTCCTGGCCATTTTCTGAAAAAATCAGTCTCTCTTCTTTTTTCCTTAAAAGCAGCTTGAATCCCCAAACTACAAGTGCTCATGAGTTGACTTCCAAAAGCTGAAATTCGTCATGATTTCCAACATTAATTACCTTCCAGAGGAGGGTACAAGGGACTACACTATGTAAATTATGCTTAATCTCATTTAATGACACCAAGCAGATCCAAAAGGGTTTTGAAGGCAGAATAAATTCTTTGGAATTAATCATTCTAGTGTTCCCAGAAATTAACTTGACCCAGAATATTTTAAGATGAAAGAAACTTGTGGTCAGATATACATGCCACAAGATAAGGAAGTGAAACAGTAATAAACACAAATACTGGGGGGAAAAAAAGCATGTAATCAGTAGTGGCTCATAAATAACTTCATGCATGAAGAATGTCACAAGTTGTTGGCCAACTTGGAACTCGGTATAAAAACCTGAGCAACTCAAGGCTCTTCATCCATTTCTCTTGCCTTCTTTGCCCTGGTGAATAAGGTAAGTGTCAAACCATTTATTCTCACTTTATACGTTGAACTATTGCCTCTATGATTTTGAGTTTTTCCTCACTAATGCTGTAGCACATTCAG